AGAGCATCGGCCCATGCTCTATCCACTGAGCCAAGGCTAGGGCAAGTGCAATGTTTTTTTAAAGTTTTTTTTCCCCAATGTGAAAATTACTACATGAAATGCAAACTCTAAGTGTTAATGTGCTTAGTTTTGATTTAGTAATATTATTGTAGAGCTGCCCTAGCAGGTGCTTAACTTTCTTGACAGAATTGCAACAGTAACAATCCTCACTGGAGGACATACTGGGCAGGAGCGGGGGTAGAAGGGAAGGGAAGGGGAAGGGGAAGGGGAAGGGAAGAAAAAGAGAGAAACATTGATGGTTGTCTGCCTTCTGCAAGCACGTACCCCTACTGGGGATTGAACCAACAACCCAAGTATGTGCCCTGACCCGGAACTGGCAACCAAGCGGTGCACAGGATGATACTAAACCTACTGAGCCAATCCTACTGAGCTTACCTTTTTTGTTGTCACTATTTTCAGAGAGATAGAATCAGTTCTTGGCTACATTCTACAACAATGTATCCTAATTTTCTGGGACAGTTCCAGTTTAATATATTTGATAAATTATCCCCAAAAGGCAATTGAATATTTCATTGAAAATTAAGCAAGTGAGCCTGCTGTAGTGGCTCAGTTGGTTGAGCATTGTCCCCTGCACTAAGTTGCAGTTTCCATTCCTGTTCAGGGTATATGCCTGGGTTGCAGGTTTGATCTCAGGTCAGGGAGTGCACGGAAGGCAACCCATATCTCTCTCTCTCTCTCTCTCTTTCTTTCTCTCCGCACTCCCTCCCCCCGCCTTTTCTCTGTAAGTATGTCCTTTAAAAAAAGAAAACTCAGCAAGCTAATTAAGCCAGTAAGTGCTATAATAAAAATGCTTGTCACAAACTAGGATGGATCAGAGTGAAGAACCCTCATACTTAGAAAACAAAAGTTTACCAGCCTGTGTAATACAATTTTTTAGTTAGATGTGGTTTGTTAGGTACTTTTCTAGTAAAAAGCATGTGATGCCAAAAGTGATACAACATTGGGAGAGCAAAGAAGAATGTATATTATGTATGTGGTGCTTACTATGTGCCAAATGATATTCCAGGTGGTGGGAATAGAGCAGAGCAGTGAATAAGACAAAATAAGGTTTCTGTAAGTGCAATTATCAAAACTCAAGGTTAATCTTGTTTTGTCTGTGCCTTCACTGCTTTTCTCTTTCTCGGATTATTTAGAAGTAAATCCAAGATACCATATTTCAAATGCAAATAAATATTTCATTGTGTATCTCTAAAAGATAAGCATGCTAAAAGAGGGTGCTTATGCATTAAAATTTTTATTTTAAATATTTTTGTGTTAAATTATGTGCAAAATATATTTGATTGACATTGGAGAATAAGTAATTTCAAAGAAATAGTAATCCTCATAATCTGTATCCAGCCTAAGAATTTCATTGAGTTCATTTTTAGTTAATTGAAAAATGATCCCTTTTATCCTCAAAAACCTTTTAAGTTTTACTTTGTAAGTTCTAGTTTTTATTTTTGGTTTGTATGTAATGGTGCCATT